GTATTCATACAATTATTGTTAGCCAACACAAGCGCGGTGGTTTCTTCGATTTGTTGGATCTGCGGCAAACGCTATTATGAAATGCTCCTAATTTGGTCCAAATTTCTTTATTACGAGAAACGTGTTTATCCTGCTGTATAACGTACTGTCTTTTTAATAAGAAAAAGAATTAAAAATTGTTAGTTTTTTTTAAAATTGTTTACAATTGTATACCATTAAAATCTTATAATGTATTTTGATTGCATTTACAATATCTAGCCTAAATTATGTATATAACGATATTCGTTATGCTAGCTGCCATAAAAATTCTAACTTTCCTATCTAAAGTATATCACGCTTTATTTATATCCATAATTAATACTTCCATTGAGAAAAAGAAGACTAATGTAAAATTAACATATCTTGTTGCGATGATGCTTAATAATTAGAAATAAAATTCAGTTGTCTAAGACATAAAATATATTTACAACTAAATCCATAGAATAAAATAAAACACACACACACACACACCCTCTCAGACGGACTTCTCAGTTATGTCAGGGAGTGTGTGAGGAGCTGACGCCTCAGATTTAATAACGCCGGCAGAGGCGTAGTCACAAACTTAAAAGTGGGGGGGCTCAACTCCAGAAATTCTTTGACAAGCAAAAAAAAAAAAAGGTGAAAGATCCTCAAACTCGAAAGATCCTCAAACTCGAAAATCCTATTTCGTGGAGGGGGGGGGGGGGGGGGGGGGGGGGGGGTTGGGGTAGTGGCCAACTTTTTTCAAAGGCAAGTTACTTTACTAGGGTCTAAAAGTGAGTGGGGGGCAACTAACCCTTCAATGAACATTTCCTATAGTAAAGAAAAAGTTGGGGAAATATAGCTGTGATTTTGTTCTTCATTGAAAAGTGGGGGGGCACAGACATACTCTTGCCCCCCCCCCCCCCAGATCTGAAAGTGGGGGGGGCTAGTGCCCCCGCTGCCCCCCCCCCCCCCCTGTGACTATGCCTATGGCCGGGAAAAAACAAAACAAAACAAACAAATATAATCTTAATAATCTATGGTAAAGGAAAATCAGAGGCATAAAGTTGATTAAAAATTTAAAATGCCCAAGAAAAACCTTTGTGTACGAGTTGACTCCTCAATTTTTATACACTGAGGAAAACTATACTTTATATGAAAATATCACGTAGGAAAACATATGTATGAATGACAATAGTTTGTGTACGAGTTGACTTTTGATTTTTATGTACGAGGTTGACTTTTTGTATACGACTCGGTTTGTGTACGACTCGGTTTGTGTACGAGTTGACTGTAAATCTGAATATCCCATCTTAAGCAATATTAAACCATTTTTATGTAAAACATATGTCCAAAATTTGAAAATGAAATAATTACCATTAATGGCTCGGAGAAAGACAGATACAAACCAAAGATATGCTCGGATTTCAAGTACACAGACACAGAGATCATTGCAAATGGCTTATGGATATACATGTACTAAAAAGATAATCTTACAAACACCTAGTTGCCTAATGAAATGAAGGATTTCCACACCTGGATTTCATTACAGGTAAACAGGGACTCCACCTGGTGAATGGTTAGGGTCATGAACTCTTCCTGTACCACCACATCCTCAAAATGCTTCAAACCGAAAACTTCTGCCGCATTAAACAGCTCCTGGCAGGAATGCTGCTCCGCGAAAATCTTGATCCCCAGACAGTTGCTGCTGTCCAACTGCTTTTCCAGGAAAGAACAACAAGCATTCTTCACACCTGCAAAAAAAAAATTCATCTTTGTATGTGTAAGAGTTTCAGTTCATGTAGTTATATATATGATATTCTTTTTGTGTATTTTGTACAATATTCATTACTTACTGCAAAGTAGAAATAAAGTATGAATGAATGAATGAGGCATATTCTTTTTCTTGTAGATAATTGATTTTCTCACCACCAAAACCCATTACTTGGATCATGTATATACTGTAGAACATTTCCTCATTTGATTTTTTTTGTAGGCACTGGATTTCTATTTAGGTTTCAAGAATAATGAAAAAATTCAAGAGGCTCAAGATAATGAGGTTGAAATACAATAATGGTTTGAAACTTTTAAAAACTTTAACATATCCATGATATACATGTATTTACAATATTAGAGTCAAGATGGACTGCATTTTTATAAAATTCATTAGCACTAATAAAACCTGTAAAAATCATGAAACCTCCTTCTATTGCAAAGTTATGGTGACTGTAAGGTATAGGCCTAATCTTATTTTGACTTAACCACTGATCATTGAGCATGACTGCAATGTATGACTATTATTTTTTTTTTACTATCGTATAATTGGAAATTTTAACGAGAAACAAATATAGTGATTTGTGCTAAAAAATTGATACTTTGTGTTTATTGAGATGTAATTTTTGCAATTTTACAAGGCTCACTAAAGAAGCTATAACAAATAAATGCAATTAATTTTTAGGAATATTCAATTTTAGTGACTGAACACCCTCGATAAATTAAATCCTCACTAAAAATTCTGCTTATAGGGTACATCACTGACTGGTGAACATGACTGCAATATATGGCCCTAATCTCTTTCTGACTATCACTGACCGGTGAGCTGGAGAAGACAGGCTGCTGGGAGCAGTTCCTGGACGTTCTCTACGCTAACGTTGACCGTCTCCGTGTACACAAAGTCCAGCAGGACGTCCATAATACTGGCGGACACCTCGTGTAACTCGATAACGGACTGGCCCTTCTCACTCATCTACAACAACATTAATAGTGAATCTTTGTGATTTGTGGAGGTTTAAATAAGATGAACTTCTAGGGTAGTCCTTCTCCTTGAATTCCCAATATCAATTCTCAGTTGACCTGAGGTTATATTTATGATACCGAGATGACAGCCCAGAGATCAAATTCAAATTCAAGAAAATTTTGAAAAAGTAAGCAATATTTCTTTCCTACTGATGGAATTTCTTTTGCGTCTATAGTCTTGCGGATGCATGCTTAATATTGCAATTTAATTTTTAAAAAAATGTCATACTCAGGGTGAAAAAATAACATCAGAATGTATGATTGAAATTCATGTTCTGAACTATCAAATTTTACCCCCCCCCCCCCAAAAAAAAACATCAGTAAATAAAATGAAGATTTAAATCTTGAATTTAAAGTTGATACTAAAGAAAAGAAAATTATTCATATATTTAAACATATCCAACGAAATTTCTACAGACTGTTTTTTAAAAAAAAGTGTGAGTATATTCACCATGAATCAAGATTTCAATATACAATTATGATTAGAACAAGAGAACTTTTTGTGATTATTAAAATTTAAAAGGTTGTACTTCAGTCATTCAAAAATATACGTTCTATAGCTTGATTACAGTGATTACTTAGAAAGTGCACTCCCAGACTCACTGTTACCTCGTTTGTAAACATTGCACAGAAGTAGTCACTACATGCCGCCAGGACAATTCTGTGGGCCATGAAAGTTTGACCTTGAACCCTCAAGGTCACATCACATAAAGTGCCATCCTTCCTCAGCGTATTCATGGTGGAGAGGATAGACTTAGCATGGCTCTCTGTAAAAATCTCCTGATCTTCCATCGTCTTCTTCTGCCTTATGAATTAACCGACTTAAAGGCTATCAGATAATATTTTTAAGATTAAAAATATATACATATACCATACAAATTGTACGCACATACACATTTAAGATATTTATATGCAAATAAGAAATACATCAATAAACATTATTCATTCAGCATGTTCAGTGTTTATGCAAATCTTGTAAACAGTATCATGCATGAGTATAATGAAGATGAAATTGGTTTACACACATTGCCAACAATAATTCACAGGAAATCACCATTCATTGCCACAGGCTGTCTTGACATTTTTAACCTTTCTTTTCATAAAAAAGTTACCCATACTATTTTCTTGATGTTCTTAACCTTTCTTTTCACAAATAAAAATTTCCCCATGATATATATGTAATGGTTTGGGCCGTGGATATCGGCCTGGATAGCTCAGTTGGTAGAGCACCTGACTAGAGATACAGGGGTCCCGGGTTCGATTCCCGGTCCAGCCATACATTTTCTCCTTTCCTGTTACAGATTTGGTGCCGTTGACCACCCCTGGAATTGCAGGTGAAAGTCCTGCCAGGGGCAATAAGAACTTGGGTTGTGTCTTCGAGGGCGAAGACCATTTAAGGAGGGAGGAATGTAATGGTTAGGGCCGTGGATATCGGCCTGCATAGCTCAATCGGTAGAGCACCTGACTAGTGATACAGGGGTCCCGGGTTCGATTCCCGGTCCAGCCATACATTTTCTCCTTTCCTGTTACATATATAATAACGTTATTATCATATAGTTAAGTATGGGAATTTTTTTTTATTTATGATAAGAAAGGTTAAAAATGTCAAGTGCCTGTGTTCACTGATTAAAAATAAAAACCTGTTAAGTTATTTTCAAAGTGTATTCATTTTCATTTCTGCAGTTCATGAAATTTCAGTATTTTCCTCGTCTTTACATTACGGCCAGTACGGGCATTTCCTTCGTCGGCATTGTGCCATATACAAGATAAAATACACATAGTGATTTACCTTACATCCAGCAATACACCAGGATCTTAAAGGACATTAAACGTATCATAACAAAGCAATGTCGTTGGTTTATTTATTATTTTTTTAGTCCAAATCTCAAACAGGAAATTCTGGTATAAATCTAATTTTAGAAGCAGAAAGGAGATTGAAATATTCCGTATTACTATTTGTTGTTATGCTTGTACTTGTTAAACTCGATAAACATAGGTAATCAAAGATTACGAAGCTCACCTCGACGAATGTTATCAGTGTAAGTAATGCAAATCTTACATAATATTTTCTTAATAGTCAGTATTTATCCCGACAACAATATTCTTGCAAGTTCTGTTTAAATAACCCCTTTAGGCCCTTACATGGCATATATACACATTTATACGAGTGTAGCGTGAAAAAAAAAGCAAGTCTGGTAGAGTCCATCCCTAGATGCATCATCCATGCAAGTTTGGTTCAGGTAGGGCTCATTATATGATAGTTACTTGGGAATGAAAATGTAGGTCAGATCTAGCATCCGAAGCAAGTCTGGTAGTGTCCATCCCTAGATGCATCATCCATGCAAGTTTGGTTCAGGTAGGTCTTAAAGTTACTCGGGAATGAAAATGTATGTCAGATCCAGCATACGAAGCAAATCTGGTAGTGTCCATCCCTAGATGCATCATCCATGCAAGTTTGGTCCGGGTAGGGTTTATAGTTCCTTGGGAATGGACCTGCTCCAAAAACTTCAAATAACCTGGTCACTCATCTGGAAAATGTAGGTCAGATCCAGCATCCGAAGCACAACTAAGGACAACATGTTTGTCAATCATATTTTAAAAAGAAATTGAAACGAAATTGAGAAATTTTAGAGAAATTATTTTTTTTAATATTTGGACCTAACCCGATCAAAATTAAACTGATCCCGATCGAAAATAACACCAAATGAATAAAATGCTAATTTATTGCCTCTTCATGTATTTACAATGAATAAATCTATTTTATTGTCAGGTTCTATAATGTTTTAACCCTTATAACACCTAATCAGACTAGTGTTCTTAGAAAGATGTTATTTATTTCCAATAATTGTATAATTATGGTCGGGATCGGTTTAATTTTGATCGGGATTGGCCAAAATTAAAAAAAAATATTTTCTCTAAAATTTGGCTACTTCGTTTCAATTTCTTTTATAAATATGATTAATGAACATGTTCTCCCCAGTTGTGGCTGGTTTTAAGAATATTTTAACCACAAGTTTAAAAAATATTCACAAATTATATGTTTTATTTTCATAAATATTTTTTTATAAAAAAAAATTAAAAGTCTAATCAGACTTTCTTTACATATTTTATTAGGTATTCATGTGATGCATTCATTTACAGCAAAAATTTTACAAGGAAGCACCTAATTTGGATGTAATTAACTTTTTTCGTTTTCTTTGAAAAAATACAAAAAAAATCATATAAAATATAATTGAGAGCTAATGTAGGCCTTTCAATGCTGAAACCATTGTTTAAAAAGGTTGACTCAGAGATCTGTAAAATAAAAAAAAAGTTGATGTCGCATTCCTCCTTAAAAGAAAATGCTACGTCACTGGAATTAGTAAATTTTTCAACCATTCCAGTGCCAGAATTCTATTACAAAAATCTATATACCAGTCTAAATCAGTTGATTATGCCTTAGCAAGCATGCAAGGGCACATGTCAGTGGCGGATATAGGAATCCTGAACAAGGAAGGGGGACGGTATATGGTTGGAGACCAAGGGGGGGGGGGGCGAAGAAGCTCTTAGGCTTTATAGTTGTATGGAAAAAAAGTTTTCAACTTTATTCAGCTAATCTTATGCAATGTCCTACAAAGTAAAACCAATTAATTTATAAATCTTATGTATATTTTGGTCACTAAAGATGGAAGGACGGGATTCCTGTCCCCAACCCCAAACCCACCGATGCTTCTGTAGTCAACTACAGGCAGAGACAGAAAAAAACCACGGCACCCCCTCCTTGTCATCATGCATTATGGGGAACCTCAATGCTAAGTTCGGAAGGACAAAACCGATGATGAAAGACTCCTGGGAAAACATGGGGTTGGGACAAAGAACGATGATGGCAAAAGACTGTTTGAGTTCTGTACTATGAATAATCTAGTGATAGGAGGAATCCCCACATCGTGACATTTACAAGATAACATGAAAATCACCAAATTGAAGGGATTAGAACCAGTTTGACCATCTAATGATCTATGGCATGTGGAGACGCTCTCTATTAGATGTTAAAGTAAAGCGGAGTGCAGATGAAGTCAGCGACCACCACCTGATGACAGCATTCATTTACATCAAACTGAAAAGAGCTGAACTAAGGCCTAACACTTCAACACGTTTTGATATTCAGAGATTGAGGGACAACACCCTGAAAACTGCCTTCATCAGGAACTTAAGAAACATATTCCAAATCTTGCAAGACATAGCGGATAAAGGTGAGAAGACCATTGTGGACAACACATGGAAACAAGTGAACCAATTGTACACTGAAAGCAGCAAAAAGGAATCTAGGTTTTCGGAAAATAAACACCAACAAAGACTGGATCCAATAGGAGGCTCTAATTGCTATAGAGGAAAGATAGGGGAAAGAAAGGAAATCAAGAAAATGATGCTGCAGATAAACTCCCCACGATAGTCTGGTCCCCTTCCCACAATTCCGTTCGCGTGGGAAGGGGACCAGACTACTCCCCACGACTGCGTGAGAGGCAAGATGAGGTGTATAGTGAGGCCAATAAGAGAGTCAAGAAGTTTGCACGTCATGACAAGAGAGAACCCATGGACCAAGTTGCAGCTGCGTCGGAGGAAGCAGCACAAAGGGGAGAGCAAATTAAAGGGGGATATACAAGATCACAAAACGAGAGTGTGGTAAATTAAGATGAAATATAGGAGGACCTATCAAGGTCAAAGACGAAACACTGCTGACAACAGGAAAAGAACAAGAAGAGATGGGCTGAACACTTCCGCGAAGTACTTAACTGACCATCACCTGATGAAATGGTTGTCATACCAGAAGCCACAGAGGATCTGGACATCGACACTACTAGCTGGCCCACCAACTAAGGAGAAGATAATAGATGCCAGGGCGTGAC